ACATTTAATTCCCAGTGTGATAGTGAGTGGAGTATAGTGGTTGCGCAAAGAATTTCTCATCCCGGGTTCAACATTCTTGAGGTCAAAAAGAGTCCATTTGAGAGTTCTGCTTAAAGCTGACAAACAAGTGACACCAAGTATGATCTTTCCATTTTCTTTCTCTCAATCAGTCTTTAAGTAACTATCTCTTCATTCCTCTGCACACCACAGGGAGGCGTGTCTGAACAGAAAATTGAAAGGGAGTTAGAAAGACAATAAAAAGAAAGAGTAGGGAGGGTCACACATACCAAGGGTCAGTGTGAGGCGGTGTTTCAAAAAAGTCTGAAGAATAAACAACCCAAGTTTGTGTAAATGTATTAATATATGATTGTGCAGATATGTTAAATAAGAAAAGAGGAAAAAGCAGATGATCCAAGTAAAAAAAAAAGATATAAAAGATATAGCAACAAAAATGACCACCTTCATGAAGTAACTCATACTAAAACAAAGTCCTGCTACCTTTACAGCTGATGGAAAGCAAACAATAGTTGAGTTTGCTGACATATTGTGCCCTCTGGTGTTGTCACCCTGTGCTATAGCCATTGAACACACACACATCTACAACACATTTTAGTGTGAGGACAGAGAGAGACAAGGTGGAGAGGGAGCCGTGAACTGAACTGACGACTTTTAAAGAAACCAACGCCCTTAATTGGAATTTCCTTTAATAATTACTGTCCTTTTCTTTCTCACATTCACTTTTTCAACGCATGTATTTGAAAGTCAGCTCGACATGACTTGTCTGTGCTGAAAATTCTGGAAGACCTATACACAGTGACTTCCAAACGTACAATGACAGTCCTATTATAATGGAAATTTATTGAGAACCTCAAACACACCCACTCGGAGACACACCTTGCATTTCTTTTCCACTAAGCTTGGGTTTGGGTGGGTTTGCATTACGTGTTTGCTTTTTTTTTTTTTCAAACAAAACACTGCAAGACTGAACGTGTAAAAAAATAACAGCTCTCATGTCAAAAGAGACCGATGAACAGTAGAACAGTGAACCCTTGCTGTACTGTATAATGACATAATGAAGATTAATTGGAACAAGCTCTCCAACAGGGAAGGTTTGGCCTTATTTATAGGAAAACCACAGACACACAATTGACATGAAGATTGTTGTGCAAGTGTTTTTTCCACAGACTGCTGACATTTGTATTTTTCGTGATAAGGATCTTTCTGGTAGCGTCAGGGCTGTAAGGTGTGGTAAGGGAGAGTTTAATTTTTGACAGATTTACTGATGCTCATCTGTCATTCACTGGACCCACCCTTCGGCTTATCCTCCTTTATCCTTTATGTCTCCATTCAACCTATGCTGTCTGTCTGCATTATCCAGCCGGTTGTACACGGGGCATTTTGAGGAGAAAATAAAAAGCTTTTGCTGTCTGTGTCTTTAGCTTGGGAGTAAATATTTAACTTAATGTTTGCTTTCTGGACTGAAATCCAGTGAGGGGGTCACGGCTACATATCCTGGTTGTAAACAGAAGATTTAGCTGGAAATGGGAATTTGTCACTCATGCATGTGTTAGTCACACCAAACTGACACCTGGAAAGACCTAATGGGAATGAACTGCGATGAATCAAAAGCAATGCAGGGACAGCAGCAGGTTAACTCTCATGAACAATGTCTAGTGTTTCACAGTGACTGTGAGACGACTTGCAGACGCACATGTGATATCATTTCCAGACACTGACACTGACATCATCATTCTCTGAGTAAATAGTGAAAAAAAAAGCCTGACAGCTGGTTTATTAAACTGCAGAGACAATTAACATTGTCTTGCTTATTAATGTTGTGTCCCGATCTGAGTTTCCCCAGCAGCTTGTTAACATGCAGATGGTTCCCTCAGACTTTCCACTGCTTCATAGAACAACACTGAAAAAGAGATGTTTCTTCAGCTTTACAAGACCATTGGTGGTTCTATCATTAACTTCGGCGCAAGGTTTTTACATTAAATAAAAATACATTTGGTAAAATGCAATGTAGTGTAAGTAGACCCTGCATCCAGAAAACCCCAATCCATCTTTTCTGAGTGTTTTTTTCCCAGGAAAAGCCTTTAAATGTCTAACATATGGAGGAATTTATGCATTAGTGTAGAGGGTAAACTCCTCAGGTCACTAAACCCTCTCAAATTCCCCAGAATATTACAAAGGACGTGATCTCAGTCCTCGACTGGGAAAAAATCAAAAGGAGTTCCACAGTGATTTTGAGCTTTTTGTCAACCACCTTTTCTTCTGTAATGTTTGCTTCTCTGCAGGAAAACTCAGGGCTTTTTATTTGTGCGTTAGTGTGTTGTATGGTCTTGCAGTCCATACACTGTCTGTGTACACTGCTCATGAATTTATGGCTTTCCCCCTCTATCTAAGTTGACATTAACCCACGAAGGGAATAAATCACCCAATGCTGCACTAGTCTATCTCTTGGACTTTGAAACCAAAGTGCAATAAAACTATATTTATATGCTTACATTGTTTTCCTGCTGTGGTGTTTATTTAACACTTTATCATACAGTCTAAATTTGTAAATATATTGATAATAATGAGAATAGGAACGCTGATAAAGACACATACGCTGTTATCTGACTCTTACATGTCTTCTCACAGCAGAACAGTTTCGAATTACTCACTGCAGAGTGAAAGCTCTGGCACACCCCTGAGATTTTTATTCTTTTTTACACCTCATGTGTAACCAGCTGGTTTAGAACAGACAGACAGAACACATGCACACACACACACACACTGACTCATAGCGTTGTCTAGGGGTGGGTCCTGGACACACCTGAAGTTGTTGCTAGGGAGTGGAACATACAGGTTTAAATGATAACAAACAGCACTGTGAGATAATGTGACGGTACAACGGTCAACTGGTTTCTGTTGGCACACAGCCAATGCCATATATTCTGCACACACCACAAAAGAAAGCATTGTCTGGATGACAAGTTTGTAAAGGATCTAGATGAAAATAGATCCGGTCATTAATGTTTTTTCTATCTTTAAGACAATAAAGCGGCAGGCAAAAGAAAAAAAGTGGAGACCATTTATTTTACAAAAGACCTTCATAATTAATGAATTACCTGTTGCACAGCACACTGAAAGTCAATGATTTGCACCTGACAGCTTCATTTTAAATATATAATCTGTCATTTATTATGAGACTTACAATACATGACAGTATAAACAATGCTGCAGACAACAAAAGTAGTGCTGTTGCTCCAGTCTGCCTGCAGGGGTCATCAGTGTGTAACAAGACACAACAAAACACTGTGGGCCATTCAGGGGCCCCTCAGTCATCATTCATGGGGCCATCTGTCATGCTTGCTATGCGGGCAGTAAAAGCTGAGAGTTGTGTGTTAAATCTTAAAAGGTGTGTCATTTGTTGAAAATGAAATAAGGAGCTGGAATCACATCCATGTCTGCTCCAATGTAATCTTTGAGACACTAATACAAATGAAATGTGCACTTTTCAACAGCATGAGTCAATAAAAAAAAAAAATGTAATTGCACATTATGGCCAGGAGGGTGAAGCATTGCTAAACATTATGTTCTGTAGATGAAGTAGGACAGGAGTCTACCATCACATGGCCTGATACATATAGGCAATCAAGCTGGTGGGTGTAAATCAAACCTGACCAATATTGAACACTTTCTTGTCATAAATAATCGTTGAGTTCATCCAATTCCCATCAGGCTTCCTTAAATCCTTCACATCCTTCACTGTAAAGTTTAGTTTTGGGACCACATGCCGTCATTGCATTCAGAATAATCACAAAAGAGTGGTGGAATTTCAGTGAAATGGGCAAGAGATTGTGAAATTAGGATAATTAATAATCTCATCTGTTATTGATCAAGTTGATTTTGTGTATTAAAATGTTTAACACAGCATGTGATGGTAATGTTTTGCTATAAGAACAGACTCATATTCAAATCATACAAGGGTTTATACGTTGTAGCTTTATTAGTGGGTACTAAATAATGTATTAATGCTTTATTAGATTAGCAAAAGGCCATTAATAAGGAAATGTTTGGGGTTGCCAGGTTGTGAAAAAATCAGTTGCTTCATCAGTTTACCCTCCAGCAGAGTAACTTGCTCTTGTCTTTATAGTTCATCAGCAAGAGCCCTCAATGTTCAGTCCAATCACTTCCCTGCTGGAAAGAGCTGGAGATCAGCTGAAAATAAATAAATGAAATGTACAACTCCAGGCTTGATAAATTATCATAAGGAGCTCATTACTAATGCCCTCCTAACATTTATAACTGCAGACCTGTTGGCTTATTATAAAGTGAGAAATTCATTTGATTTTTCACCATTGGACAGCTTAAAATCTCCTTTTAAAATATCTTAGTATTGATCTTTTAATGAAGAATTCAGTAACCTTGAATAAAGCAAGTTATATATTTAGTTACAAACCCTTCCTGCTGCATTATAAACAGGTATTGTGTAAGAAAAACAGTGAGACACAGATAAAATAAAAATCAAAAGACAGTAGAAATGGCTACAAACAAAGTGGAGCATATTGAGACAAATTCTTTCTCCGGCTCTCAATCATTCAGACTCCAACTATGGATGAAATACAATATCATGTTGAAACTTTAAAAGTTATTCCAAGACCAAGAAGAAAAAAATAAATAATTCACCTTTACTGGCTTCTAAAGCAGAACTGGTATGTGTTTTATTGTTTGCTCCAGGAATGGGCGGGGCCAGGGCTAGTTCCTCCTCTTCCTACCCCCTGTTGACACGACATCGGTACTGTGCGTTTAAAAGCTTTGTATTTATGCATGTGTGTATTAACTCATTGCTCATTTATATTTAATATATATATATATATATATATATATATATATATGTCACAGAATATAA